AAAAAAAAAAAAAAAAAAAAAAAAGAATATATAGCCTGTCAACAACATGAGTATTTTAGTGAGAGTATCACACTAGAATATATAGCCTGTCAACAACATGAGGATTTTAGTGAGAGTACTAAATGACTAAATGTTGATATTTTTGGGGTGAACAAGGAAGTTAAGATTATATGACCTTTACCTAGCTTTATTGAAACCTTGTATGACCTTGACATTCATGTGTGTGTGAGAAAGTTCAGATGCTATGACCTTGACTGACCTGGATTGAGACAGCTCATTAGTCACCTTGATTTTGATGGAGCATGTGACCTTGGCCTCACCTAGCTGCCAAATGTAACCTTGACAACGGAGCCTTGTGCTATACGAAACGTTGAATTTGATAATATTATTTATGCACCAACTCTGGATTGCTGATTTTAAGGACCTCTGTTTAGCTGCAGTTAAACACTTGATAATTCCTCTGTCGTTACATAGTTACCTCCCCTTTGTTTTAGATTTAGCTGTAGTGGGACTGGGCCTGATAACTGATCAGGTAGCTCTGTTAGTTACAGTGATCGTATAATGATCACAGGTCCAGGGTCCTTATCCTGGTCTGCTCTCATTTAATTTTACTCTCTGAACCCTTTTTTCAGATAAGTTTTATCTTTTTTTATTTTTTCACAAAAGTTCTGCAAGACATGCCGTTTCCGAGACTATTTATGCTTTTGTTATGTCATTAAAAGTTTCAATTCATAGAACTTGACAGTACAGTCGAACCTCGTTATCTCGAAGTCGACGGGGTCGTGGGAAAACTTCGAGTTATCCGAGTATTCGAGTTATGCGGGTTCATAGATTTGGTATGAAATTTGCTGTTGGGACGTAGCACTAGCAGTTGTTGGTTTTATTAATGGTTAATGCTTTTAATCAATCGATAAATGATATACGTAATCAATATAACAAATACAGCTATGTAATTTTACAATAAACACGCTTACAAAAATAGAGTAAGTTATTTCAGAAAAACGTACTTTCGTTTTTAAACGCGATCAAAATGGTTGGACCATTTTGTGAATTCGTTATTAAATATGGACGGGCCTAGTGATTAAATGTTGTTTTTGGCTAGTATAGATCTTGGCAAATCTTTCCAGGTCTGCATTTGTATTTGTAAGTCCGTCAAGTTTTACTTCTGAAGTGTTACATGTCAAACCGAACTATCCCGCTGTCTCTGATCTCGTAGTTTACAATGCGGAAATGAAAGTGCGCAAGTCTAAAACAAATCACTGTAATGGAGCGTACGCATAGTTGATTCTGTAAATGAAAACACACAAACAAATTATATCGTACATGTGACACATTGATTCATTAAAGCCAAATATGACACCTGACACCTCCTCAACTCGATGTAATCAACAGCAATTATCGTTTTGTTCTTAAATCTCTCGATCGACTTTCAAAGCCATACTGGCTCCTGTAAAAACATGAACCCGTAAAGCTGTCCTAGGTTGTGATTTTAACTGTGGAACTCTTTTATGCATGACCACGCTTTGTGACCAATTTTCCGGTTTGCACTGTCGTCTGTTTAGGTGTACAAATCATTAAACGGACTCGCAGTAAGTACAGATTACTGTTGATCAACATTGATGCAGTTTGTTTTTTATTATAAATAACATGGTTTTGACAGTCCGTAAACTTCACAGTCCTAAGCTTTATCGTAAATTCTTTTTTTTACTGATTTCATGCTAGTCTACTTACGAAAGATGTTAATAAACACGGAATGGCGAAATGTCGTACTTTTGCGTTTTATTTGTATCAAAGAATTAACAAGTGACAAAATGAAATTTGGATACTACGTTGGATTAACGCTATTGAAACCAATATTTTACTTCGAGGTATCCGAGTTTTTCGACTTTTCAGGGTTCGAATTATCAGAGGTTTTTTTACTAAGATAAAGAACAGATTTGGCCGGGACCGGAGAAATACTTCGAGATAAACGGGGTCTTCGAGTTAAAAGAGTTCGAGATAACGAGGTTCGACTGTATTTGGAGGTAGTACATGGATTTTGTTTAAGTAAATTTCATGTTAGGTAGGCAATTAAATTCATAAATTTATACCAGTAATGTGTGTGACTGTAAACCTGAGTCCTCACAGAAACATTGAGATTAACCTAAGTGACCACTGCTGGATGTTGGCCTATTGTAAGTGGCTAGGTTTATACCAGTAATGTGTGTAACTGTAAACCTGAGTCCTCACAGAAACATTGAGATTAACCTACAGTAAGTGACCACTGCTGGATGTTGGCCTATTGTAAGTGGATATGTTTATATCAGTAATGTGTGTGACTGTAAACCTGAGTCCTCACAGAAACATTGAGATTAACCTAAGTGACCACTGCTGGCTGTTTGCCTATTGTAAGTGGCTAGGTTTATACCAGTTATTCCTACACAGTGATAAAGTAATGAAGTCGTATACCATATAGCAGGGTACTTCCGCAGGGAAGATATTTTCGCAATTTTGCATATCAATAACTAGATCACAAAAAAATGATCTGCAGAATGATATGACAAGGATTAAAATAAGCAGTGATAATGGACTTCATATCTGTAATAGCGTCATGAAATAGCAAGTTTGTGCTTGTAACTATTCATATGTATAAAGAGTTATAAGATATTGGAAAATAGATTATATATCTAATAATTTTGTTGACATTTAAATAAATTACATTGTTGTTCATTTGAATTTTGACACTTTATACACTGTGTATCCTCGAAAATGTAGTTCCCTTGCATGTCTAGATCACAGAATTATAACTTTATAAATTTAATTTTGGGTCAAAATTGCAAAAATTTAAGCCTGTGTAAATAACCTATTTGATTGTATTGTGTATTCTAGCTCCATAACAATACACATAGTTTACATGCAATGACTGGCAAGGAGACAGCTTAGGTCACTTTTAATGTATCAAATTGGCGTCTACTAATTAAATGTAATTGATACGACAGCAAAGACAGACAAATGGTTTTATATCATTTTTAGAATTAAAAGTAAACTTCCTTGGATAAGTTGATGCACTAGGTTATGACATTGTGAATAGATAATAAATCACATGCTAAAAAATGATAGCATTCACTCATTCACCCCTGAAATTTCATAATGAACTGTTCCAACCTTTGAATTGGAAGATTTCAAATGTGTCCTCAGGGTTGAAAGGGTTAATAAAAGTGTTGAGTACCTGGGTTGGGAGGAGACTCCATGCCATTCGTGAGCGGATGGCTTTGTCGACTAGATCCCCGTCTGAGATGCTTTGAGCTGTACGAGCCAGGAGAGACAGATGCTTTGATGCGTTACCCCTACAACACAAGTATCTTACTGTTTTGTTCACAGTTAAAAATCACATTTAGGTTTTTGACCTTCTAAATTGATAAAAAAAACACAATATAAACTCTCTCCTTTTTTTTATAAGTACATTGCTTGGTGTCATTTGCTGAAAACCATCAAAGGTATATATAACAATTTTAAATGTATAACCCCCCCTACCAAATATTTTCTTAAATGTTTCATCCCCTGCCAAAACAACCCCAAAAACTTGAGAATATCTTCAATAAGATTTGTCAGTTTGGAAATATGTGATATCAAAGGTTTGCTTTCTACACAAACAATGTTTGTATTAAACGTGTCGCAACATTTCAAGACTAGTCATAGCTAGACAAAGTGACCAGCTAAGTCAGTCTTGAAACGTTGCGACACGTTTAATACAAACATGGTTTGTGTTGAAAGTTAAACTTTGATAATCTTGAGAAAAGTTGAAAATAATTAATCAAAGGATTAAACTATAAAGGAATGATGAACAATAACTAAGAGAATTAACAGCCATGTTGATGATGTACCTTGCAGCGTAGGGGAAAACATTAATATAGTTCTCCTGCACAAACAATGGACCAAAGCTGTAATCGTGGAAAAACAGGTCCGACTTGTCAATCAAACTCATGTTCGCTGTTTCATCTCCACCCACAAACACCTTCCGACACACATCAAAAGGTCCCTGTAAATACCCAACATTAGAGAAAGTCACAAGGCAGTCACATCATGGCTAATATAGGTGAGGATATTTGGTAGGGAAAAGTCATGTATCTATATGATGAGTGAGTTATATTTGTAGACTTTGAGTGGCCTTACATTATGAGTGAGTTATATTTGTAGACATTATGACTGTGGCCTAGCTAAGTAGCTGTATGGGATTGAGAATGTGGCCTTACATTATGAGCGAGTTATATTTGTAGACTTTGAGACTGAGTCCTAACTTAGTAGCTGTATGGGTTTGAGAATGTGGCCTTACGTTATGAGTGAGTTATATTTGTAGACTTTGAGACTGAGTCCTAACTTAGTAGCTTAATGGGTTTGAGAATGTGGCCTTACATTATGAGCGAGTTATATTTGTAGACTTTGAGACTGAGTCCTAACTTAGTAGCTGTATGGGTTTGAGAATGTGGCCTTACATTATAAGTAAGTTATATTTGTAGACATTATGACTGTGGCCTAGCTTAGTAGCTGTCTGGGTTTGAGAATGTGGCCTTACATTATAAGTAAGTTATATTTGTAGACATTATGACTGTGGTCTAGCTAAGTAGCTGTATGGAATTGAGAATGTGGCCTTACATTATGAGTAAGTTATCTTTGTAGACATTATGACTGTGGCCTAACTTAGTAGTTGTATGGGTTTGAGAATGTGGTCTTACGTTATGAGTAAGTTATATTTGTAGACATTATGACTGTGGTCTAACTTAGTAGCTGTATGGGTCTGAGAATGTGGCCTTACATTATGAGTAAGTTATCTTTGTAGACATTATGACTGTGGCCTAACTTAGTATCTGTATGGGTTTGAGAATGTGGCCTTACATTATAAGTAAGTTATATTTGTAGACATTATGACGGTGGCCTAACTTAGTAGCTGTATGGGTTTGAGAATGGGGCCTTACGTTATGAGTGAGTTATATTTGTAGACTTTGAGACCGAGTCCTAACTTAGTAGCTGTATGGGTTCGAGAATGTGGCCTTACGTTATGAGTAAGTTATATTTGTAGACCTTATGACTGTGGCCTAGCTTAGTAGCTGTCTGGGTTTGAGAATGTGGCCTTACATTATGAGCGAGTTATATTTGTAGACATTATGACTGTGGTCTAACTTAGTAGCTGTATGGGTCTGAGAATGTGGCCTTACATTATGAGTAAGTCATATTTGTAGACATTATGACTGTGGCCTGACTTAGTAGCTGTATGGGTTTGAGAATGGGGCCTTACATTATGAGTGAGTTATATTTGTAGTCTCTGAGTGGCCTTACATTAAGAGTGAGGTATATTTGTAGAGATTATGACTGTGGTCTAGCTAAGTAGCTGTATGGAATTGAGAATGTGGCCTTACATTATGAGTAAGTCATATTTGTAGACATTATGACTGTGGTCTAACTTAGTAGCTGTATGGGTCTGAGAATGTGGCCTTACATTATGAGTAAGTTATATTTGTAAACATTATGACTGTGGCCTAGCTTAGGAGTTGTATGGGTTTGAGAATGTGGCCTTACGTTATGAGTAAGTTATATTTGTAGACATTATGACTGTGGTCTAACTTAGTAGCTGTATGGGTCTGAGAATGTGGCCTTACATTATGAGTAAGTTATCTTTGTAGACATTATGACTGTGGCCTAGCTAAGTAGCTGTATGGGATTGAGAATGTGGCCTTACATTATGAGTAAGTCATATTTGTAGACATTATGACTGTGGTCTAACTTAGTAGCTGTATGGGTCTGAGAATGTGGCCTTACATTATGAGTAAGTTATATTTGTAAACATTATGACTGTGGCCTAGCTTAGTAGCTGTCTGGGTTTGAGAATGAGGCCTTACGTTATGAGGGAGTTATATTTGGTGAGTTATATTTGTAGACTTTGAGTGGCCTAACATTATGAGCGAGTTATATTTGTAGACATTATGAGTGTGGCCTAGCTTAGTAGTTGTGTGGGGGTGAGAATGTGGCCTTATATTATGAATGAGTTATATTTGTAGACATTATGACTGTGGTCTAACTTAGTAGCTGTATGGGTCTGAGAATGTGGCCTTACATTATGAGCGAGTTATGTTTGTAGACTTTGAGACTGAGTCCTAACTTAGTAGCTTAATGGGTTTTAGAATGTGGCCTTACATTATGAGCGAGTTATGTTTGTAGACTTTGAGACTGAGTCCTAACTTAGTAGCTTAATGGGTTTGAGAATGTGGCCTTACATTATGAGTAAGTTATATTTGTAAACATTATGACTGTGGCCTAGCTTAGTAGCTGTCTGGGTTTGAGAATGTGGCCTTACATTATGAGTAAGTCATATTTGTAGACATTATGACTGTGGCCTAACTTAGTAGCTGTCTGGGTTTGAGAATGTGGCCTTACATTATGAGTAAGTCATATTTGTAGACATTATGACTGTGGTCTAACTTAGTAGCTGTATGGGTCTGAGAATGTGGCCTTACATTATGAGTAAGTTATCTTTGTAGACATTATGACTGTGGCCTAACTTAGTAGTTGTATGGGTTTGAGAATGTGGCCTTACGTTATGAGTGAGTTATATTTGTAGACATAATGACTGTGGCCTAACTTAGTAGCTGTCTGGGTTTGAGAATGTGGCCTTACATTATGAGTAAGTTATATTTGTAGACATTATGAGTGTGGCCTAGCTTAGTAGTTGTATGGGTGTGAGAATGTGGCCTTATATTATGAATGTGGCCTAACTTACCAGTTTCATATCTTTTCGAGCACGCTTGGAGTCGTCCTTCGCCTGGTCATACGTGATTGACTTGTTGCCAGCCGTCCACATGGAAATGTTATGGATGACCTGGCGTACGTCGTGATTGGCTGCCAGGATGATCTCGTTTAGAGCGGGGGGTGGGATTTTTAATCCCTCCTTAAAAGCTATGGACATCATGGCTGCCTGTAAAAGAGATGGTTCTACTATTAATGTATGTACTATTATAACATTAGTAATTGCGTCTCATTTTCATTATATTATCCATGACCCGTTCAGACTCTTCTTATCTTACCATGACATTTATGTATCAAAGTATCACAACTGATGGCCTTCATTTTAATTTTTATGTATCATATTTAATTGTGAAACACACTTAATTTTCAAGGCTTGTTATGACTGTTCTTTTGTAGATAAAACTTAATATTTATATACAACGAAACACGCAAGAACAGTTTAACCTGTTTATTACACTACAGTTATAATACATACAAGCTACAAGTTTGGTGTATCAGGGGCTACTCACTCTATACCAAAACAACTAAACTTACTAATAGAATATTTTAAAATTTAAAGAATCTGGACTCTGAGGTGTCCCAGAGTAGCTAGTTACATGATCGAGCAATACTCCAAAGATACAGAGAAGCAACTAGACCCTGGACGATTCCAGAGAAGCTACTAGACTCTGCGAGCGACCCTGGAGAAGCTCCATGAGAAATATAATATTCAACGACTAGCTAGACCCTCAACGGTATGAGAGAAGCTGAATATGTTAGCTAGACCCTCAACGATATGAGAGAGGCTGAAACATACTGTCGTAAAATACTATAATATTATTATGAGATTGGGGGTAAAATTCCCTAAGATTTAAATGCCTGTCCGATTCCAAAATAAAACTAAGAGCGAGTAGCCCAGACAATAAAAACAATCAAGAGACCAACCGGGCTGACATTTATATGACAGCTTAAGGGTATAGCAAAACCAAAGCACACAAAATAATGTTATACCATAAATACATGGTACTACAATCATATATAAGTACAGATTATATATATATAGCATGAATGAACAGTACAATTAGAGGAGCTGAAGGGGATGGCGGGTGGGAATGCACAACAATCTCCTTCAATGACTCAGAAAACTATGCTGTGGGGGCTCAAAAATCCATAACAGGGCATTCTCTCAGGCAGACGCTGATTGGTCAATCAGCAGCATCCCTCTAAACTCGTTAACATATACATATACATGCTAATTGGCAGCTACATATATACACATACACAACCTACGTTACATAAAAACAGAAAACATAGGCGGCAAGGAAAACTTGTTTTATATAAACTATAGTTTAATATTAAAATATCAAATTATCATTTAAACTCTTTTCAAACTACTAGACTTTATACACTAAATATTTAACTATTTTCATACTATTAGACTTTATAAACTAATTATTTAACTATTTTTATACTACTAGACTTGATACTTTTTTTAATACTAAAATTTCATTCCAAATCTTAACTGACATAAATTCTTTAGAGACCCTGTTGAACTGATATTGATCCTTCAGAGGTTTGGTTGAACTAACCTCAACCCTTCAGACTGACAAATATGTTGGATGGAGCTAGACCAGCAGACAGACAACCAAATTTTTGTTTTGGCGGAATGTTACCCTCAGATTTGTATACTTACCTTAATCTGCTCAACACGCGGCCGCTGGAATCGAAGGTCGAAACAGTAGTTGGACAGCGTTCTCATCTTCTGATGGTTTCTGTCGTTACACATACAGATAACAGGGATCTTTGTGCCCTTGATTAGGCTCACCAGTTCCTACAACACAACATTTAATGCAGTAGTTAACTAACACCTGACATAAGGGGAAATGTCCCTGAACAGACAATAGGCGATAAAAGTCACAGAAAATTAAATAGACTGTTATTTGTTTTCCAAAAATCAGAAAAATCAATAAAGACAAAATGGAGTATCAACCCCTCTCTGAAAGTCACTTTACTGGAAAAATTTTGCCCTTCAACAGTAAAAAGTGTATTCACCTTGATTTAATTTCACCCTTTAAATGTAATTACTATATTCACCCTCATTAAGGAGAGTGAAAAAGGCGAAAGTTACAATGCCTTGGAAATTTCTCTGCACACAGTCCTTCCTATCAGACCAGCATTTAACCTGTAAGACCCTAATGCCCTAGAAAAAGACCTATTTATGGACAAAACAGATTTACCTGTAGACCCCCATGATCTTACTAGACAGTTTTACCTGTAGACCCCAACGATCCTACTAGACAGTTTTACCAGTAGACCCCCACGTTCCTACTTGACAGATTTACCTGTAGACCCCAACGATCCTACTAGACAGTTTTACCTGTAGACCCCCACGTTCCTACTAGACAGATTTACCTGTAGAACCCCGCGTTCCTACTAGACAGATTTACCTGTAGACCCCCGCGTTCCTACTAGACAGATTTACCTGTAGACCCCCGCGTTCCTACTAGACAGATTTACCTGTAGGCCCCCACGTTCCTACTTGACAGATTTACCTGTAGACCCCCACGTTCCTACTTGACAGATTTACCTGTAGACCCCCACGTTCCTACTTGACAGATTTACCTGTAGACCCCAACGATCCTACTAGACAGTTTTACCTGTAGACCCCCACGTTCCTACTAGACAGATTTACCTGTAGACCCCAACGTTCCTATTAAACAGATTTACCTGTAGACCCCCACCATCCTACTAGACAGATTTACCTGTAGATCCCCATCATCCTACTAGACAGATTTACCTGTATACCCCCCCCCNCCCCCCTCCTTCTATACAGATTTATCTGTAGATCCCCACAATCCTACTAGACAGATTTACCTGTTAACCCAAATGATCCTATAAGACAGATTTACTTGTAGACCCCCAGGATTCTACTATACAGATTTACCTGTAGACCCCCAGGATCCTACTAGACAGATTTACCTGAAGACCCCAGGATCCTACTAGACAGATTTACCTGTAGACCCCCATGGTCCTATAAGACAGATTTACCTGTAGGCCCCCACCATCCTACTAGACAGATTTACCTGTAGACCCCCACGGTCCTACCAGACAGTTTTACCTGTAGACCCCCACGGTCCTACCAGACAGATTTACCTGTAGGCCCCCACTATCCTACCAGACAGATTTACCTGTAGACCCCCACGATCCTCATTACCAGCCATACCGTCAACCTCGTCCATCAACAAGCAGTGCTTGTGTCCTCGTGACTTTGAGCGATCAGGCCCTGAAATCAAACCAGGCTCTTATTTAATAGCTACTATTAAAGATATTGGTATAAACAATTACTAGAATTTTGTGAAAAACACATCCCCCCTTATTGGCTTATATGTTAATTTGGAAACATAGAAAAGCCACATCAAGATTATGTTGTGTAAATTAAAAACCATATAACTTTTAAATTATTCTTGTTCATGTTAAATTGTAGAATGCGGCACTCCTACTTCCCAAAATCATAAATATAGCAAGTTTGGTCAAAGTAAGTGAAATGACATGGAAGTAATGCCGTGGATAAAGTTAAGTATTGAAAATAAACAAAGGGCCATAACTCTGTATAGTAAAAACCAGATTTCAGTGCGAGAGATTTCGCCCTCCCAAGATACATAAATACGGTAAGTTTGGTCAACGTAGGTGAAATAACATGGAACTGATGCTCCTGACAATCTTCTGTATTAAAAATAAACAAAGGGCCATAACTTTGTATAAAGTTGGGCACGAAACCCAATTCCATGAACTGCACACCTTATGTGGGCGATGCAGGCATACCTCAAGTTTCATCAAGATATCTTTAATGGTTTAAAATTTATGTCTCGGTCAAGTTGCGATTAGAAGAACGAGAAGAACCAATAGAAGAACCAGTACTAATACAATTTGAAGGGGAGACATAATCATTGCACATGACAGTTTTCTCCAATAGGAAAGGGTTCAGGTCTTTTCATCAAAATTATCGGGGACCGATCATGGTGGTACATCAAATCTAAATTATGTCAGAAATTCAGAATGGTTTCTAAAGACGGTTGTCACCTTCCAGAAGTAGCAACCTTTAGAACCAAAGCCATGTTCCCACAAAAATGGCATTTCTACCATTTTGAAAAAAATGACTTGTTTAAAATATACCCTTAAGTAAAAGAGCACCCAGAAAGACGAAATACAATTTTGTTGATGTTTTGAAATCGAAATACACCCCGAATNTGACATTATCCATATTTTCTAAACTGTTAATAGATTCTATAAGAGTATTTACTTACCCATATAATCCTACAAAGCTGCTATACCGAAATACTTACCCATATAATCCTACAAAGCTGCTTTACCGAAACACTTACCCATATAATCCTACAAAGCTGCTATACTGAAACATCTACCCATATAATCCTACAAAGCTGCTATACCGAAACACTTACCCATATAATCCTACAGAGCTGCTATACCTAAACACCTACCTATATAATCCTACAGAGCTGCTATACCGAAACACCTATCCATATAACCCTACAAAGCTGCTATACCGAAACACCTACCCATATAATCCTACAAAGTTGCTATACCGAAACACCTACCCATATAATCCACAAGTGTCTCATTGCCCAAAGCCTGGGCGACCTCATGCTGCAGACTTTTCTTTGAACGTGTGTCAGACGCATTCAGCTCAACGAAAGAGAAGCCAGCTTCCTGTAATCATCAAAACCACACACATGTAACATAGACCAATATATTATCGCACCCAACATATGATCAATCACATGTACAATAGAGCCCAATATCACATGTTTTGGAAAAAAGTCTATTTTTACAACATGCTTTATTGGTCATTTGTCTGATGAAGGTGACAGACAACATATTGTACTACCTTTCACACATATCAATCAATTCACTTTTTGTGCTATAGGAAACTGTACAATCTATAAATCTATAAATGCTAACCTGAAGAAAGTGTTTTTAACAATACTGATCAAAGCAGGCCAAAGAAACAGTCATAAGTACCGTCTTATATGCTACTTAATTCAGTCTCAATAAGCCAAATCACATTGGATTGACTTTTAACCCTTTCACCACTGTAGACCATAATGGACTCATATAGATCAATGCATGGTAGAGTCTACTAAAGATACATAGGGGTGAAAGGGTTAATAAAAAAAAGTGTGGCTGTGCTCTTCTTCCCTGTCTCATGAACATACATTCTCTGGTGATGGGGATAACACATGTACCTATCCCCGTAACAAAAGTCTACATACCTTACACACGAGTGTGGCTGTGGTAGTCTTCCCTATCCCCGGAGGTCCAGACAGTAGTGCTGCCTTTGTCCCAGCACCATCATCCTTTCCAAAAAACTTTCCTGTAAACAGAGGAGATCCCCAACCATTTAGCTCAGGACACGGCTGTATGCTACCTTGTTGTGTTTAGAATTCAAAATAGTTCCAACAATTATTTATTTATTTATTAACTTACTGTTATTAATTCTGAAAAAAACATCTCTTTCAGAATCTGGGCATAATCATTAGGTATACAGCAATCTTTTAGATCAACTAGCCTTATTTGGACTGGCAATCCTTAATACCTTTTTACCTTATTTAGACCAGCAATCCTTAATATCTTTTTACAATATTTGGACCAGCAATCCTTAATAAACTTTCACCATGTTTGGCCCAGCAATTCTTAAAATCGTTTTACCTTATTCAGATCTGCAATCCTTATCATCTTTTTTAAAATGTTTGGCCCAGCAATCCTTAATAACCTTTCACCGTGTTTGGACCACCAATCCTTAAAACCTTTTTACCTTATTTAGACCAGCAATCCTTAATATCTTGAAACCTTATTGGGACCAGCTAACCTCAATATCTTTAAACCTTATTTGGCCCAGCAATCCTTAATAACCTTTTACCATGATTGGACCTGCAATCCTTAATTTTTTTTTTACCTTATTTAGACCAACAATCCTTATTATCTTCAAACCTTATTGGGACCAGCAATCCTCAATATCTTTTTACCATGTTTGGACAAGCAATCCTTAAAATCTTTTTACCATGTTTGGACCAGTAATCCTTAAAATCTTTTTACCATGGTTGGACCATTAATCTTTAAAATCTGCTTACCTTATTTAGACCAGCAATCCTTATTATCTTTAAACCTTATTTGGACCAGCAATAATTCATATCTGTTTTCCTTAATATTAAGACAAGCAATCCTTACTATCTTTTTACCATGTTTGGACCAGTAATCCTTAATATCTTTTTACCATGTTTGGACCAGCAATCCTTAATATCTTTTTTTCTTATTTAGACCAGCAATCTTTTATATATTCTTTACCATGTTTGGACCAGCAATCCTTAATATCTTTCTACCATATCTAGACCAGCAATCCTTAACATCTTTCTATCATATCTATACCAGCAATCCTTAACATCTTTTTTACCTTATTTTGACCAAGTTTTGAAAGCTTGTAACAAGTACTGAATTAAATATTCTATTTACCTTGAGGTTTGACACCTGCAGCTTCATTCTTGTGCCAGTTGGTTAGCCAATGAAGGAGCTTCTTGGCATTACTCTTGTCTCCCTGCTGACCAATCAGTTGCTTTAGTCCGGTTGGCTTGTACTTATCCACCCACATCAACACCGGCTCGTCTGACACTTTTCCTTCCTTCTTGACTGGAGAGCTAGATGATGGCGTTGATGAGGAAGCCCTTCTTTCGAAATCTGCAAGTCTACTTACTGATTTTGTCTTTTGAACTGGTGTTTTCGATTTTTCCTTCGGATGAAAATAATTGTCAAAATGTTAAATGGCTGATATGCAATTCATAGCTCATACTGAGTTTACACGACAAATTCTATGCACCTTTCTAACATTTTCAAGCACTTTCTTACAACTTTCCATGTCATAGTTTGCAGAAAAAGGAGTCAAGATATCCTGCATTTAGTGTATGAATACTGTTATATACACTGTCATTACAGCAATTTTAAAGTAATTGATTAACTTCTTTGTGATAAATTTATATCAACACAAAACTTGGGAACTATCCTTCATCAATGAGCTTTGAAAGAGTCCTGATGTGTCAATTGCCTTTTGTGTGTAATCGTGTACTTGTACACTTTTAATATATATAAAAAATAAATAAAAAAAATCCAACACTTTTTTGAAGATCTGTTCAGTACTTTTCAAGTACTTTTCACGTACTGAACTCAATTCCAGAACTTTTTCTGACCATGCACCACGAGTAATAACAATTTAACAAATTTTAATAACTTCAGAGTTAAAAGAAAGAACTATTGGTACATGTATCTGAATCTTAGGCTAGTGGAACCGTATCCCGGACTGTCTCACTTACCTTACTAAAAGATTCCTCAGCTTGTATCACATATTTGGATTTCTTGCCAGGCTTTGTTCTGATGACTTCTATGAGGCCGTCCTCATCCAGAATGGTGGTACCAAATCCCCGCGCCTACACACAAGCCAAAAATAAATATTGTACTGAGTACAAAATCTCCGCGCCTACTCACAAGTGGAAAGCAAATACTGTAAAATTCTGTTTTTTTTAACCTGTTCCATCATGTAGCAGATTTGCAAAAATGTTTGTTTTGTAGGGACCAATATTCATAGATTTCAGGTCTAGAGGCCAAGAAAATTGTGAAAAGTAGAGTCCCATCACGGCAACCTTTACATTATTCAGTTGTAAGTTAAGTACAGTAAGTATCCTATTTTTAGTGTGTAGTTTTGATATATCTGTGCATACATTTCATATTTCACCCGTGTGTCGGTAACACTATGCGCACATATTTCTGTGAATTACTTCAGGTTGAACACAGAAGATAGCTACTGTGAATGGTAAGTTACATGGTTCAACAGAATGCCAGTCAATAGTAGGTGTACATTCACACTCTATTGTATAGATGCACTCAATGGTGTTACTAATTACTGTTTACAAGTTTACTAATCACAAGTATTTTCAAGGTCTGACATTTTGACCTATATTTTGGGACGGATTTGGGGTACGTAGATATTACTCATACCTGAACCGCAACTTCTTCCAGTCGTAATTATTTATAAGACTTTGTAGGTCAGATTTCATTTGAAACTGGTAAAATAGGCAATTATATCTTTCAAATAATGAATTGCTGCTGAAATCAGCAGTTAGTTATCTTTATTGTGACAAGCCCTCCCCAACATACCTTCTGGAGCTTACTCTCTCCACTTTCTCTCCCGGCGACCAGAAAGTTATCTTTATTGTGACAAGCCCTCCCCATCATACCTTCTGGAGCTTACTCTCTCCACTGTCCCTCCCGGTGACCAGAAAGTTATCTATATTGTCCCAAGCCCTCCCCAACATACCTTCTGGAGCTTACTCTCTCCACTGCCCCTCCCGGCGACCAGACAGTTATCTATATTGTCACAAGCCCTCCCCAACATACCTTCTGGAGCTTACTCTCTCCAATGTCCCTCCCGGCGACCAGAAAGTTATCTATATTGTGACAAGCCCTCCCCAACATACCTTCTGGAGCTTACTCTCTCCACTGTCCCTCCCGGTGACCAGAAAGTTATCTATATTGTGACAAGCCCTCCCCAACATACCTTCTGGAGCTTACTCTCTCCACTTTCTCTCCCGACGACCAGACAGTTATCTATATTGTCACAAGCCCTCCCCAACATACCTTCTGGAGCTTACTCTCAGCACTGTCCCTCCCGGCGACCAGACAGTTATCTATATTGTGACAAGCCCTCCCCAACATACCTTCTGGAGCTTACTCTCTCCACTGTCCCTCCCGGCGACCAGACAGTTATCTATATTGTGACAAGCCCTCCCCAACATACCTTCTGGAGCTTTCTCTCTCCACTGTCCCTCCCGGCGACCAGAAAGTTATCTATATTGTGACAAGCCCTCCCCAACATACCTTCTGGAGCTTACTCTCTCCACTGTCCCTCCCGGCGACCAGAAAGTTATCTATATTGTGACAAGCCCTCCCCAACATACCTTCTGGAGCTTTCTCTCTCCACTGTCCCGTCCGGCGACCAGAAAGTTATCTATATTGTGACAAGCCCTCCCCAACATACCTTCTGGTGCTTACTCTCTCCACTGTCCCTTCCGGCGACCAGAAAGTTTTCTATATTGTGACAAGCACTCCCCATCATACCTTCTGGAGCTTTCTCTCTCCACTGTCCCTCCAGGCGACCAGACAGTTATCTTTATTGTGACAAGCCCTCCCCAACATACCTTCTGGAGTTTACTCTCTCCACTGTCCCGGCCGGCGACCAGAAAGTTATCTAAATTGTGACAAGCCCTCCCCAAAATACCTTCTGGAGCTTACTCTCTCCACTGTCCCTCCCGGCGACCAGGTAGTTTGTTTTCTTACTGACGGAGCCGGTCACCTTGCCACCGTACCTCTCCACCTCACGCTTGACATCGTCACGGTCAAATGATTCTAAAACGCCCGTCACAACAAATGTCAGACCTTCCAAGCAGTTTTCTCCACCCTACAAACATAAATACAAAATGAATTGTTACTGATAAATATTAACACGTCCTGTCTTACAAAGGTCAAAGTTCACATGGAAATAGGCACTAAGCAACTTTTTTGTTCACCCTACGAAACGCTTACAAAAACTAAAATACAAAGACTAAAAATTGCTGAGAAATGAGCAATTTCCTGCAAGAATTGTATGAGTAAGACACAGATAAACAATTCTCAAAATTTAGAACTAAAGCAAGGTCAAAGGTGAAGGTTACATAGAAGAGCATTAGCATTTGAAATTATGTGATCCCATCTACAGTAGAAACTTAACCAAGGTCAAAGAGGTCATGATCAGATAAATTTATGTGATCCTATACTTACCCCATAACTGACCTTGACATAAAAACTTAACCAAGGTCACAGAGGTCATGATCACATGAATGTTGTTACCCATGCTGTTTTCATCAACACACCTAAGTATTGGTACGTGGAGTTGTACAGCTCTAGCTACACTCCTTAATCCACACCTAAACCACATCACAATTTGTTGTTCAAAGTATCTGGTATTGTATTCACACTCTTGGGACTCAACATTGGAATTCCTCCAACACCTAGCTGGCGTCCCCAAGATTTTTTTAATGTTCACTGACCATGTCTCTGCTCCGATACTCACCTCGGGTATTTCCAGAGCACTTAGTGACCTTGTCTGTACTCTGCGAGGTAACTATGAGCATTTCTTTAGTACCCAGTGACCTTGTCTATGTTATAAAACTCACCTCTGGAAATTCCTTAGTACCCAGTGACCTTGTCTATATTATATATCTCACCTATGGAAATTCCTTAGTACCCAGTGACCTTGTCTATATTATATATCTCACCTATGGAAATTCCTTAGTACCCAGTGACCTTGTCTATATTATATAACTCACCTCTGGAAATTCCTTAGCACCCAGTGACTGTGGCCCTTCTCTCGTCAGGTACGACCGGTAAGATGTCCTACTCGCCAACTCCGGTACATCTGGGGACTATAACCATAGTAACCATAGTTTAAACATCTAAAATGAGTCAAATGACCTGCTTTGAATATGAACTCAGTTGGAGAAAAAAATCAGATCTGTACACTACACACTGCTCTATAAGAAATGTAGAATAATGGAAAATAGAAGCTTTAGTAAAAGAATTTCTCTTCAGTTTTATTCATTTTGATAAACACTTAAACAATATTAACTATTATATTTCAGTTAAGGATCCCTGTCCCACTGTACTGCTGTTTTTTCTACAAACAGTAACCCCCCCCCCTAAACTTCACAGCACAGTTTGACCAGAACACTTCCGTTGACCAGGTAGCTCAATTGGTTAGACCGACAGTGTAACAATCGGAAAACCAGTGTTCAAAATCTGATCTAGCTCTGCTGATTATTTTTCCATTTGGATCACTGTTGTTGATATTATTTTTGTTCATTTCATCTTTATTATTTTAATATCATATTGATCTGTGATAAAAGAGAAATATGACTTTCACCAATCCTCAAAAATACAAATCAAAACTGATTGTGTAAAAAAATTAGGACTGATTTTCTGTATAAAATTGACAATCCAGTTACACATTTGACTAAACTCATTCACCCCTGAAGACACATTTGCACTTTTCCAATTCAAAGGTTCGAATAGTTCATATTAAAATTTCAGGGGTGAATGAGTTAAAAGAACTCACTGTTTCGGCACTGCAAGGCTTTGGGGGGCTGGTTTTTGTATAAAATTGACTATCTGGTTACACACGTGACTTTAAGAACTCACTGTTTCGGCACTGCCAGGCTTTGGGAGCTGGTTTTTGTATAAAATTGACTATCTGGTTACACATGTGACTTGAAGAACTCACTGTTTCGGCACTGCCAGACTTTGGGGGGGCTGGTTTTTGTATAAAATTGACCATCTGGTTACACACATGACTTTAAGAACTCACTGTTTCGGCACTGCCAGACTTTGGGGGCTGGTTTTTGTATAAAATTGACTATCCGGTTACAAACGTGATTTTAAGAACTCACTGTTTTGGTACTGGCAGACTTCGGGGGGCTGGTTTTCGATGGTTTCCCTGGAGACACTTTAGGGGCGTGAGCTTTCTCACTCTTGACTGGGGACGGTTTTTTAGGACTTACATCCTTCTGAGGGGATAGCACCTTCTTCGGGGACAGTTTAACAGGACTGGCTTTCTTCAAAATCTGTAATCATAAACAGTTTTAACAATACAATTACAAACTTTTAAAATTATGAACCTCCCCTCAACTTCCGCTTACAAAGTTAGTTTTTTGTTTTTTGTTTTTGTGTATTAGTTGTTGCCTTCTTTGATAGTTTGCCCCAATGGCCCTGTGGTTGACTTGAAAACAGCAACAGTGACCTTGGCATTGAACATCGGACCCCTATTACCAACTCATCCGAGGTATTGTCACACTTGACCTTTGTGTAAACTTTGTGAAAATCTGTTAAGAAATCAAGTCAGTAGTCATGACAATAAATCGCAATAAGACAGGATAAGACATGAAACTGGGGACCCACCCCCCCATATTATTTATTATACAAAAGTGAGAGCATAAAAAATGAAGACCCATGTATTATCTACAGTCCAATACTTTCCAGTTAGGTTGGGAAAGCGGACATCCGTAATCGGTTTTATCAACTCACCTGTTTGGGTTCTGGAGTTTCCGGGACAAGAGTCTTTGGTTCTTCCTTCACTTTTCTGGTCGATGTTTCCATGGAAAATTGCTTAGCTTTAGCTGCCAACTTGCTGGCTAGGTTTCCTATGACCAAATGTAACCATTGTAAAAATTAGTATAGAACCTATTTTGAAATTGATAAAGGAGGCCAATGGACACTAATGGTCAACTGAATCATGAGAGTTTTATTCCCATCCCCCCATTCCACATAATGAACCTATATACAAATTCTGATACCCATTTATGACACAGCAGCTGAGACATGCTCCGGAGTAATTATTTTAGTAATTGTGGTCAAGGATAAATCAACTTAAAGCCTGTGACCTAGTTTCAGGATGTGACACATCACCTTACCACGAGGTACCTATACACAATTGTGGTTCCAATTCATGAAATTGCAGCTGAGATATATTCTCTGGAATGGATTATTTTAGTATTACAGGTAAATGCCACACTACCTTCCCATGATGTATCTATATACAAAGCTTGATGTCCTGAAACAATGGATGAGATACCGGAAACCAGTCACCACGGATTAACTGACACAACCACACGTAAAACAAATTCTATATATACCCCAAACTTCAGTCACTGTGGGGGTAAAAATATTTAACAGTTATTTAGAGTTATACAAAATATTACAACTAAATACAAAATGTAACTTCTTAACTCATAATACAAGATACCCATTGTAACTCTGTAGAAAACGTATTATTATATTACATATAGTAATTAACAGCAACACAAAATATTCCAAACTTTGTACAAAAAAAAGTACTTCATTACAAAGTTGTATTACTGACAATGAATTGATTTGATAGCAGTTNAGAAGTTGTTTAAAGTAAAAAGTTGACGCCGGACAGACGGACGACGGACGCCGCACCATAACATAAGCTCACTTGCCCTTCGGGCAGGTGAGCTAATAATAACACAAGATCTGATATGATACACACCTGACGGACTAGGGGTACTGGCAGACTTCTGTGGGGAAGTCTCCGACAGCCGCGGCTGAAATATGTTAATTACTCACAGCATATAATATTAACGTAACGTCTACAATGATGAAGGTTTTGTATATTATATCATAACATCTTCATACTCTGTGCATTCAAGTGACATTTCTGTTTCTACATTTTCTTTTCAAGATTTTTTTAACTTAACATGACATTTTGCGACATTTCTACAAAACAAAGATGAAATTTTGTAGAGTTAAACTGATCAATAATTTATCACTCTTAACAATTCTTGTTAAATCTTATGAAAATGATCTGAACGTTGAGTATTTCAATGGGAAACCAAGCAAATATTATTAACACAAATCTTCTTAATAAGTTCAAAATAAGTTTAGATGATAAGGGATTAGAGTGCAGAATGCCAAGAATTTATGTACAGAATTGCTCTTTTCAATCTTTAGACTTTGTATAATATACATGCTTATAAAGTTTCATCAAAATAGAATGGTGTTTTAGCAAATTATCTTGTGGCATCTTAAGTGTGGACAGACAGACAACAGACACTCCCCATACCATAATACCTTCTGTCGAAAAGTTTGATGCACATGTTAAACAGCTGGATATCCGATGATCGAAATTCTGTAAACTAACCTTTTATTGATATACAACACATTTTAACATCTGTTGATTCAGACAGTCGACAGATACCGACAAGTTTATCTGCTCAAAAAGTCAGCCATATAGCTGGGAGTGTGGCAAGTGTGAAAGTGGCAGAATCCATCACTGCTATTAATGGACAGTGTGGTAAGACGATGTCACAAAGACGGGCCAATTTACATGAATTTCTTGGAATTTTTACAACTCAGATTACGCCTGATTTAGGAGAGGACATGATTTGAGATAATGAGTCTAACCTTTTTGCTCTTTTGAACATCGTCCAGTTGTGCTAGAGTCTTCTCAAAATCATCATCTTCGTGAATCTCTTCATCTTCATCCTGATAAATAGACGAAGAAACACTGGTCAATCCACTCTCATTCCAGACAAAGAAATGTCTCCTTTGCTTTGCAGACAGGACTTTGCTAGATGACTGAGCTATAATTATGTACAATCATAAAATAACCTGACAATCCAAATTAATCTGTTGTTTATAACAATAATTTGTCTGTTAGTTACAAAGAATATGCTTCTTGATTTCATATTTTAAGTTTTGATAATTGCGTTGTGTACATGTACAATTTATTTACTATACATTTTACAGCAGTATATTTGGCTGTAATTATGCTAGGCCTCAAGGGAGAATAATTTTGTAACTAATTGAGCTACCTTCTGTAAATAAAGCATTACTATCACTATCTTGTCCATCTAATATCACCTTACCATACCCCAAATCCTTTCACTGTATCCAAAATTACCGTTTGCATTTTCAGCCCAAAAAAGTACCTATGCAAATTACACTGGTGTTTACGGTATCTAACATGACACTTCCTTTTACTTACAAGTTTGCGTTTAGAGACCGCTGTTTTTCTGTCGGAGCGTTGGACAGAACTGCTCCCAAAGAAGTCGGACACATTGACCGGAGTTTTTGTCTCAGTCTTCTTGATTTCAGTTTTGGATTTGACTTTTTGTGGACTGGGTGTCTTTAGGAAGGAACCCATAGAGGACTTCTTGGTCGGTTCCTCATCTGAAATGAATTATATCGTTCACATTGGTAAAAAGAATACAAGCACAGTCAAAAAATTATAAAATCTACGAGTACATGTATAACAAAATTTCAGTTTGTGGTGACATCTCCGTATCACTCAAAAGAATATACACCAGTTATGTTTCTGTAGACTGGGTGTATATTTATATCTAGGGTCAGCCAATACATAGGCTTAGCCACATGTATGTGAGTATGTTTATGTCACACCTGAGTGAAAGAATGTATACCTTGTGTTGTGCATGCAGCTCGGTCTATATGAACGATGCATGCACAACCACTTTTCCTCACACCCCACAAACCCTTGTCCAGTCACTCCGAACTTAGCAGCAGATCAGCATCCATGTACATTGTACCTGCAGCTAAAGCTACCTGCCATGGGATACTACCTGGCCAAGGCCCTTGTACCTGCAGCTATAGCTACCTGCCACAGGATACTACCTGGCCAAGACCCTTGTACCTGCAGCTATAGCTACCTGCCACAGGATACTACCTGGCCAAGACCCTTGTACCTGCAGCTATAGCTACCTGCCAAGGGATACTACCCGGCCGAGGCCCTAGTACCTGCAGCTATAGCTACCTGCCACGGGATACTACCTGGCCAAGGCCCTTGTACCCGCAGCTATAGCTACCTGCCACGGGATACTACCCAGCCAAGGACCTTGTACCTGCAGCTATAGCTCCCTGCCACGGGATACTACCTGGCCGAGGCCCTTGTCCCTGCAGCTATAGCTACCTGCCAAGGGATACTCCCCGGCCGAGGCCCTAGTACCTGCAGCTATAGCTACCTGCCACAGGATACTACCTGGCCGAGGCCCTTGTACCTGCAGCTACAGCTACCTGCCACAGGATACTACCTGGCCAAGACCCTTGTACCTGCAGCTATAGCTCCCTGCCACGGGATACTACCTGGCCGAGGCCCTTGTACCAGCAGCTATAGCTACCTGCCAAGGGATACTACCTGGCCAAGACCCTTGTACCTGCAGCTATAGCTACCTGCCACGGGATACTACCCAGCCAAGGACCTTGTACCTGCAGCTATAGCTACCTGCCACGGGATACTACCTGGCCGAGGCCCTTGTACCTGCAGCTATAGCTGCCTGCCATGGGATACCACCCAGCTGAGGCCCTTGTACCTGCAGCTATAGCTACCTGCCACGGGATACCACCCGGCTGAGGCCCTTGTACCTGCAGCTATAGCTACCTGCCACGGGATACTACCTGGCCGAGGCCCTTGTACCTGCAGCTATAGCTACCTGCCACGGGATACTACCTGGCCGAGGCCCTTGTACCTGCAGCTATAGCTACCTGCCAAGGGATACTACCTGGCCGAGGCCCTTGTACCTGCAGCTATAGCTGCCTGCCACGGGATACTACCTGACCAAGACCTTTGTACCTGCAGCTATAGCTACCTGCCACGGGATACTACCTGGCCAAGGCCCTTGTACCCGCAGCTATAGCTACCTGCCAAGGGATACTATCTGGCCGAGGCCCTTGTACCTGCAGCTATAGCTACCTGCCAAGGGATACTACCCGGCCGAGGCCATTGTACCTGCAGCTATAGCTACCTGCCAAGGGATACTACCTGCTGGCCAAATATCATCATCCTAGGCCTTTTGGTTACTGAAAAGAAGTTGTTTAAGTAAAAAGTTGACGCCGGACAGACGAACGCTGGATGCCGCACCATGGCATAAGCTCACTTGCCCTTCAGGCAGGTGAGCTAAAAATAAAGTTTGCAAGAATGACAACAATAGAAATGACAACTCCATCAACAGACAAACCTGAATCCTCCTTAAAGACGATGCCAGTCTTCTTTTTGTCATTTCCGCTCCCAGCTTTCTTCCTTGGGATAGGTTCCTCATCAGAGTCTGTCAACAAAAACTTTAACTTTTTCTAACTCTTCTCCAAATGAGCCTTTGCCTTTTAANGGATACTACCTGGCCGAGGCCCTTGTACCTGCAGCTATAGCTGCCTGCCACGGGATACTACCTGGCCAAGACCCTTGTACCTGCAGCTATAGCTACCTGCCACAGGATACTACCTGGCCGAGGCCCTTGTACCTGCAGCTATAGCTGCCTGCCACGGGATACTACCTGACCAAGACCTTTGTACCTGCAGCTATAGCTACCTGCCACGGGATACTACCTGGCCAAGGCCCTTGTACCCGCAGCTATAGCTACCTGCCAAGGGATACTATCTGGCCGAGGCCCTTGTACCTGCAGCTATAGCTACCTGCCAAGGGATACTACCCGGCCGAGGCCATTGTACCTGCAGCTATAGCTACCTGCCAAGGGATACTACCTGCTGGCCAAATATCATCATCCTAGGCCTTTTGGTTACTGAAAAGAAGTTGTTTAAGTAAAAAGTTGACGCCGGACAGACGAACGCTGGATGCCGCACCATGGCATAAGCTCACTTGCCCTTCAGGCAGGTGAGCTAAAAATAAAGTTTGCAAGAATGACAACAATAGAAATGACAACTCCATCAACAGACAAACCTGAATCCTCCTTAAAGACGATGCCAGTCTTCTTTTTGTCATTTCCGCTCCCAGCTTTCTTCCTTGGGATAGGTTCCTCATCAGAGTCTGTCAACAAAAACTTTAACTTTTTCTAACTCTTCTCCAAATGAACCTTTACCTTTTAACTTTGTGAAAATATCTCAGACAAAGAGAATGCTTTGGGAAAAGAAAGTGATTTTCACAATGATATTCGGATAATACAGTCAATTATTAATAGTTTATACTCATGATTGTAGAAATGAGGCCAGCCTTTAACACTTTCACAACTGTAAACCATAATGGACTCATCCAGATCAATGCATGGTAGAGCCTACTAAAGTATCATAGAGGTGAAAGGGTTAACAAACGTTGGAATGGGCATGGGTGCACAAGTTTCCTGAACATGGGTGTGATTATACTGAAATACTGTCAGCTTTAACTTTAGGTCTATTAATTAAGAGAAATATAGCTGTAAAATTTGAACCAGTTTATTTTGTATTAAGTTCTGACTGACACCTGATTGAATTGTGTAATAAATACCCACCTGATTCAATAAGGTGTGCCTTTTTGCCCACTTTCCTGTGACTAGAGACTGTGTCCTCATTCCTCTCTTCACTGCTCACCTGTGAGAGGGAAAATAAAACTCCTTGAACTCATAACGGTTACAAATATGTTTTCTGTTTAACAGACACAAGACAAGCATCTTCAAAGTGGGATATATAGTACATGTATAGGCAATTCTATCTTCTTTTCCCCCTCCATATATTATTTAAAGTAATTCTTGATATTGACAACTCGAAGTATTATAAACTTAATTGTAGGTTTATGGGACTCTAAACGATAAGTAATTGAATCATATATATATATACTAATACTAATTAGCTTACCATATTTGATCATTTTTAATCAAAGGTGTATATATATTCTTTTAACTTTTATAATAATGTTTCCTCTTATTCCTCCACATACAGGAATACCACGAGGAAGACCATTTGGATTCCACTGCCAATTATCAATGTCTATCTTACCTGACGTTTCCGTTTTTTCTTCGTGCCTTCGTCTAACTGTTTCTCGTCCTTCTTCACAGCAACATTTCCATTCACATCCTCATCGTCACTGTCCAACGCAATCACCCTCTTTGCCTTGCTTTTACTTTGAGTTTTCCCCCTTGAGTATGAACCTTTACCCTTTTTATCACTCCCCCTTCCCTTCTCGGTGGACTTGCTGCCATCATTTCCCCTTCTTCCAGTCTTTTCATTTGTTGACTTTCCCTTTACGTTTAATTTCGAGGGTTCAGGCCTGACTGTTTTGTTGCTTGCATTGTTAGTTTTCTTCGCGTTGGCACTTGAAAAGAAGCTACGAATATCCTGAAAAGATATATATTAAAGTCTTACAAAAGATGTGTATAATGTAGTATAGATAATTTTAACTACTTTAAACTGCTGATGTAATGTTTTAACATATAAGCCTTATTACTGCCCCTCAGGAGGAATTGACATTATGTTGTAGATCCCCTCGAAATCCCAGACCTGACCAGGCCAGTCAATGATTTACAGTTTTATTTCTAAGCAGAGATGTATGTCTGGTGATCAGAGCTGGACTTCCTGTGAAGTCGATGAAACATTTGATTTCAAACAAGTATATATCCAATCAAAATGTTTCAGTTATGGAACGGAGATCTCAACTGTTTCCAAGCTGTGACTCAGAAACTAGGTCCATAGGGTTGTGGCCAGACCCCAGGATCAATTCTAATATCATGACTGCATTTGTCTCTTTATGCCCAGCATTTGTTTTTATAGTTTTGGGGTGGGGATCTCAACCATTTCAAAGTTATGACCCAGGGACTATGTCTCAAAGGGTGGGGCCAGACCCTAGTGCCATCCTGGAAGCAAATGTGCATTCTTCTCCTTATACTCAGCAATGTATATATGGTTATACGGTGGGGATCTCGAACATTTCCAAGTAATACACTTTTTTTTGGCCCCACCATTTGTACAATTTTGAATCCCTGCCTCCCATGAATGCTTCTGACCAAATATGATCAATATCCATGGCACAGTTCTACAGAAGAAGTCGTTTATAGCAATATAGCCAAATTGCCCCCTTTTTGCCCCGCCCCTCAGCCCCACCATTTGTACAATTTTAAATTACAACCACCTAGGGATGCTTCCAGTCAAATACGGTTGATAACCATATGTTAGTTCCAGAGAAGAAGTCGCTTAAAGCAATATAGCCAAATTGACCCCTTTCAGCCCCATCCCTCAGCCCCCTGGGGGGTGGGGGGTGGGGGTCAGCCCCACCATTTGTACAATTTTGAATCCCCACCACCTAGGGATGCTTCCAGTCAAATTAAGTTAAATTCCAATCAGTGGTTAAGAAGAAGAAGTCGTTCAAAGAAATTGTTGACGTACGGACGACGGGGTATGGTATAAGCTCACCTTGGCCCTTCGGACCAGGTGAGCTAATAAACTGTTTATTATTTTGTAGTTGATTAATATAGATACAAGAATAGGTGACAACTGAAAGCATGCAAGAATTGGCACCAAAGTAAGGTATACAAGAACTAGTGACAAAGAAAGGTACACAAGAATTACAAGAATTGATATAAATACCCAGGTATAAATATAAATTATCTTTATTAAATTATGTACATTGACAACAACAAACATAAGCTCTGTATAGCTTTTAATATAATGCTGCTAAGAGAACAACCAACCCTATCAGACATCACTCACTTTTTCTGCCACTGCGGAGACCAAACAGAATATTGTCGGCGATAGAATGAGTGGTCTTTCATTCTTAATTGCACAGAAAAAATGACTGCATGGAAGTGTTCACATCTACCAAGGCATCAAAAATTAATGCTTGGATAAAATATCTAAATTACAATTTTTTTTTTATGCAACAATTCAGAATGATAGCTTGCCTAAGGGCTTGCATTCACTATTAGTAGGATAGTAGATTGTTGGAAATATGAAAAGATGTGCATTGATTAGGTTGCCTTACAAGCATCAGCTGTAGGGAATTTCCCTTTAGCTCATAATCAGTGGTAGAGCATTGGGCTGGAGAGCCAAGCTATCTTTATCACTATTCCTCGTCCTACTACAAATTGGTGCCGTTGACCCCTTGGCGGGGAGTCAAAGAACCTGGGTTGTTGTTTGAAAAAAGAGGGGAATAGTGTAAAAGATGTGCACTGATTATGTTGCATTACAAGCGTCAGCTATAGGGAATTTCCCTTGAGCTCAGCGGTAGATAATCGGGCTGGAGAGCCACAGCGAGGGCACCATATTTATCACTATTCATCGTCCTACTACAAATGGACTAGCTGGTTGCTTGTGACCAGATACCTATAACTCAGTTGGTTAGAATATATCCTTAATAAGTTCTGGTCAAGCCATTGCAATGTTTCCTTTATTGTTTAACATGCATACATCAACCCTGCATGGTCAATACTAAACTCTGTAGCCTTGAAAAAAGGTGATGACCATGGCCTTGTTTGTCAATGATACTGAGCTCTTTATTTTATAGTGTAGCATAACTGGACTGGGACACTCGCTGGCAGCCATGTAGCCCAAGTTTCCTCTTAGCCCTGACACCAGACTTAGACATTTTGAAAGACAGATGTCTGGTGTGGGGCCAAAGCACACTCCTATATTGAAACGTGGAATTCTCCGACACCGTTTGGTGTTGGGAGTTTTTAGGTGCTGATCGGCAAAAAAAATTGACTATGACACAACAAATACCTCACATATATTGATAAATGGATTATCTATCGATCCAAACCCGCTCTTACTATCTCCAACAGATTAATTCCGTCAGTAGAGTCCACGGTTTTCAATCGTTCAAAATTTCCCACCTGAGCGAACACCATTTTTGTAGGTCAAGGTAACAAAAACAAGCGGTCCGGAAATCTTCTAAACAAGAGTGATATATTCCGTTTTCAGTCCGAATCAGTACAGCTTTTTGATCATATAGCAGCCAGTGCACTCTGGCCCCACACCAGACATCTATCTGTCAAAATGTCAAAGTCTGGTGTCAGGGCGCCAGAGGAAACTCGGGCTAGCGACCATGTAGCTCAATCAGTAGACTGATTGAGTATCTGTCTTGCCAGAGGAAACTCGGGCTAGCGACCATGTAGCTCAATCAGTAGAGTATCTGTCTCGCCAGAGGAAACTTGGGATAGCGACCATGTAACTCAATCAGTAGAGTATCTGTCTCGCCAGAGGAAACTCGGGCTAGCGACCATGTAGCTCCATCAGTAGAGTATCTGTCTTGCCAGAGGAAACTCGGGCTAGCGACCATGTAGCTCAATCAGTATCTGTCTAGAGTTTGGAGGTCCCAAGTTTGAATCTGGCCTTGCATTTCTCTTCTCCTGTAACAGTGGTGCCTGTGACAGACCCTTATGCACTTGGGAAGGGGATACCTGAACCTGGGCTGTAAATAGGGTTGTCGTCTGGGACAAAGACTGGTTGCGGAACTGGATTGGTTCGTTCGCCTTCGACCAGGTAGCTCAATTGTTGCAGCGTTTATCTATGGTTAAGAAGTCTTTCAATATGACAGATGAGCAAACAATCTCTCAAAACTTTAACTTACAGTTAAGCAANGGGGGGGGGGGGGGGGGGGGGTAACGATTTCAATTCAATTATACAGTTGTGACGAGAAAATGTAAAATGTATAGATCTGGAAAGTTACATCTGGAAGATGCATAAAAGCGGAATAGCTCACAAGTATTCGGTCAATGTAGAAGTGGGGTTTTGTTTTTTTGCAATGACAACACTTTTTCGTTTCAGGAAAATCACACATGGCCAACACGACAGTAACCAGTTATGTTTCAACCTAAAACCAAAACCTCTATATCACAACTAATTCACCATTATTAACAGAAATTATCAACAAATCCACAAACCATGGTGAAACGCTGATGACATATCCACCGTTATGCTAGAAACTCCCGAGTGTTTACATTCACTTCGTCCGATGTCCCTTTCGCGCCAAATACGACAACGCGCATGTGTGTGACCTTTATTTTGACCCCAGTGAGAAATTATTTACTGTTAGACTTGCACAAGTCAAAATCAAAGATCCCTATCTCTGTCTCCGCAGAGACCATAGTCGACTGGCATAACGTTAAATACTTCAGCAGGGACGTATATATATTGATACGTAATCTATACGTCTCTGACTTTTGCACACATAAAATTAAGTTCCTTATCATACAAAGATACACACAGATTTATTCTGACTATAGGAAATGGTACAATTTCCTCTGCTGTCAGCTCAATTCTAAAAGTTACAATAGTACATATAGTTGGTTAAACATGTTAATAACATGATTTCTGAGTATTTTTTGCGAGTCCATTACAGAGAGCTGCACAGTTCCATAGAGAACAGATGTTCAATGATAAGTAATTATATTACAGTAACATTGTGAATTGACTGAGTGTGGTTCAAAAATAAACTAGAAATAACAGAAATGAAGCGGGGAAAGGTTTTATGAAGGACTTGAATTTTGTGTCTCATATCAATTTTTGCAACAAGCCGTTAACAAGGCCTAATAGCATTGCTGGTTTAATTATAAGGTCATTTGTATATTTTCAAGGCACTCGTTCGTCCACACTTAGAGTATGCGGCAAGTGTATGGAATCCGTACAAAGATAACGACATTGAAATGATTGAAAGAGTCCAACGAAGGGCAGCAAAGTTAATACCCGGATTGAAGGACTTATCATACACGGTGGCATTCACAGGGGCATGGATCGCTTTACTTGTAATATTAAAAAATATATTAGTATAGGAGACCCCTCTTATTTAATATTACAAGTAAAGCGATCCAGGCCCCTGTGGTTGCATTCCGACACTTGCATATCGAAGACTAAGAGGCGACATGATTAATCAAATGTCTACAAAATATTAAACAACTTCCACTACGATAGTACAGTTACCACCTCAATCTTTGATAAAGAGAACCGTTAGTGCCGAACTCTCCAAGTGCCGAGATGATGACCTGTTACCGATAAAGACACTTCACGGCGAACAAGAGGTTATTCAGAGATAAAGTCGACAATCCGACATCCGCAAATACTCTTTTGGTCTACCATAACAGGGAAAGTAAGGCGAAAAAATTGCTGATATTGTTAAAAATCAGAGATGTATATTTTGCTACTGGCTTTATTTGTCTCTGAAAAATAAATTAAAAATCATTTTCTTTTTCAAAGAATTTCATTTTGACGATTTGTGTTGTTTCATTTTTTTCTCATTTTATTTTAATAAATGTTTTTTTGTTGGTGGCTCTTTGCAGCATTTTTTTTATTGTCGTTTTAATTTTACCGAAATATGACTATTTTATGTAAATGATTTACCATCTGATGACATAACAGTTATATACAGGTAGGTTACTTACCAATTAGTGTCACCTACGATCTCAACAGGCGTTACCACTCAGGTCACGGGGACATTGATTTATTGCTGGGTGTTGACTGACCCGGTACGTCCGGACTGGCAGAGCGGGGGTATCTCGGTCGGATTAGATTTCTGGAAGGAGGAGAGGTTGCAATTATTATCTCGACAACTGATGTCGAAGACAGCAGCCGAGGAACAAAGTAATGAGACGGGTCCGGAAGATGCAGAAATTAGAGACTGTGGACCCCGCCCCTTCCGTGGAGAGCGATCAAAGTTATCTATCATGATATTTTAGACATTTTTTTCCTCTTTGAAATAAAAAAATAACGTAGATTTGAACCAAAAAAATCTGATTATCTGTTTGATCACGGACTTAAATAACTCATCTAATTCCGTGGTAGAACCAGGGATGTGTAGCTGGTAGAACGTATATATAAAAAGAAATAAAGCAAGAGAAGATTAAGACAATGACTCAATCTGTGACATTTAAGAAAAGGTCCATTTCCTATAAAGATAGAAAATTATCGACATTTATAAGATGCCGATTATACAAATGTAGCACTGCAAATAGGTACGTAGTTTTACAAAAATAAGTTATTTGAGATGGTGTTGTTTACACACTGATAAGGTAATTAACAAAAATTGACAAGTGACATAGCCGCACACCCCGGGGCCCCACCCGTCCAATCGATAGCATATATACAGCTTGATTTTAATATAATAAACCTTGGTTAAGTAAAATTTAATGGAAGATATTTTCCTAAAAGTAAAATCATTTAAAAAAACGTTTTTTGTTTATAAAGCGTGAGTGTTTACCTAAATAAACAACGATTTTCAATTTGTTCTGCAAGGTGACAATTGTAGATTTTCAAAACTGTAAGCTAACTATGCTAATTGAGTCAGTGCGCCAGGGTTCATTGATTACTCCCTATTTACACATGCGCAACGACGGTCCAGAAAATGGCGGACGAATTGAATAGGTAAGATATTCAAATTTACTCCACGTCTCTATCTTACTATTTCAGGAGTCTCTGTAGAGTAAACTAATGATTCAAGGTTCACACACCGTATTATTGTAAATACCTAATAGATATGTTTTGAAAGTAGATCTGAACGTTCAAATCACAAGTGATTTTGCCCTTTGACATTCGTATCTCGTCTCTGTCGCCTATGCATGTCCGAAGATGTCTTGTTGGTGTCGGTTTGAATATGAAATAGATCTTCAGCTAAAATAACTTAACTTTTCTATCTTTATTCATTTCCTTTTCGTGTTAAGTTAGACATGTTGTAAATTGATGACCATTTAGTGATTTACTCGGCGAAGGACCACACAATGCTTGATCAGTCTTGGACACCACTTGTGTAAACAAACACATTTTCCATCTCCCTTTACAATTCATTAAATAATATTGACGTTGTAAAGATCAGAAATAAAGTAGCTTCATCGATCTGTAATAACGTTTTCAGAAGATAATCCAAATCGGAGCTTGCATCAGGTTTTAATTTATTATATGGGATATATGCGGGAACAGTTTATGTGCAGATGGGCGTTTTAAACAGATAAAATGATAGTAAAATTATTTCTGAAACAGTGCACTGTGATGGTTGTCTAAGACGCTAAACGCCGTCATTCCTTCTGGAAAAAACAGAACAGTGACTCTAACTGTCTGATCAACATAGATATCTAGTCTGCTAATAGTACATCCATTTCCAAATATCCCAGACTATAAAATGCACTTAGAAATTAATAATTACCGTTTTTTGTTTTGCTTTATATAGCCAAACTGTTTTTATTTAATCATAACCCAACCATATTTACCCTAGACAGTTGGGACTAAAATGTATGTATGCATTATATAGCAGCATATTACTGTTGATTTTACACACTGTTGTCACCATGATACCAAACATTACGTATACCCTTCCTGAAAATGGTAAAATCAAATCTATTATGTACATACCATATAAATATAAGTGACCTATTCACTTAGACTCCTCATTATCAAGCATTTAAACTATTGGTTGGTAAAGATTTAATGGGGGATTATTGTAATGATCCTGACTTAACTGACCCCGGTCAGACTGGGTTTACTCAGGTCAGAGTCTAGAATGGCTATAGTTGACACTGACTGGCCAACAAAGTTCACAGACTTGATGGGACGTATACCGGCGTACAAACATACTACTTCACATTGTTATACACAGCATGCTGTTCAATGAGGTACGAACAGGTAAATGTATAGGTAGATATATATATGTAGTCCATTTAGGTTTTACAAGTTCATATTTCAAAATCAAGTTTTTGTGATAACCTTTGCTTTGTCATGGTATCGTATACTGTAAGCAATTTCAACACCTTATGTTATATATTATTACTAGGATTTTTCTGCTATGTCCTGATCAGCTTATGAGGTCATGAAGAAACACAAATTGTTCTGCTGTACCCATCCAAATACTGGTAACATCAGTTTTGCAAATTATATAGGTGCTATATTTATAAAAACTTTATTTTTATTCACTCTTGAGATCTATTTTCTTTTCTCTTTCTTCCTCTTTCTTTTCTGCTGTGTTTTCAAAGGCTCACATATATGAACTTATCTGTTTCGAGTACATTATACAACAAACAAACCAAGGTAAAGATATCACAATCAAATATACATATGCAAGTTCAGATCTTAATCACAAACATTTTTCCATGTTCAATTGGCTAATAAATGGACTAGCTGAAGGATGCTGACATGTGTTTTTTATTACCATAATGATTTTTTTCAGCTCCACATAAAAACAATGATTTGCTTTTCAGTTTTAATAATCATGAAAATCTGAGTGATTAAAATTGACCTTGATTTAATAATGTGTCAGTAAGTCTTGATACAATAAGATCCAGGAGGCGAGTTTAGATCATTTAATATATATTTCAAAAATTATACCAATTTGTTACAATTAAATTATTAAGTGGGAGATTATCTCCTACATCCTTAATTAAACTTTCACACCTGACCTTACTGTCAGTTTTCTCACCTGTTGATTGCTTTAACCTATTTTTCTCACCTGTTGGTCAATGTTTTGGCCTGGAGTGGAGACTATCAGGTCATTAGGACTTCATTAGTTGTTCATTAGATCCACCTAACTTGACCATCACACATCCTCCAGGTATTATACAGAGCTGGTCAGTGATTGGTCAGTTCTCTGGTCAGTCACACTTAGGATCATCAGAACTAATGTATAAAGGGTTAAGAAGATAAGTTGTGTAAACAGTTGAAGATTTAGTAGTGACTGGAGCTGACGTGTGGGATTCTACAATGTAAGTGTTTAATGTGACTTCATTATATATATAGGACCTATCATTTTACAGGTACACCTGGTTCTTGCTTTCCCTCCTACCCAAGATTTAGGTGTCACCCTCATAAGTTTACTTTTTCACATATTTTAAATCAAGAATTGTCAAGACTGATACAATGTCTATGCACAGCTTTTGCAAAAAGTTTCAAAACGAATCAAAACCATTTACCTATGGTCCATTTGTTGAAAGCTTATGGTGGAAACATATATATATAGATTGGGACAGTTGTGACATTTATTGTGATAAAAACATATATTCTGTTGTTTTTTCAAAAATCTAAAATGTCTGATCATTTCATGGTCAAATTTGAAGTTATAGACATGTATGTGAACAAAGTTTTTAAATCAATCAATGAAATAATTTCATTAAATATTTTAAAAAGAGTTTTTCGTGGCATTAGGATTTTTACTTTTATAAAGCATTCTGCATGTACAGTGACTGTTTTAACTTGGTAAAGGATTTTAACACTGTTTTTTTTTCTGAATTTAAAGAAATGTTCATTTCACAGTATAAAAGTTTGAATTTAAATGATGCCAATTTGAGAAATATCAAAGACTTAATTTTAAATTGGTGCAGAAAATTTCCAAGTATTTTTTTTTTTTTTTTGTTAAAGGATAGCATTCAATATTTATTCATTAAAAACCGATTTACTGAAAAGTGTTTTTAATTAACTCATTAGTTGATTCAGTTTTAAGCTTCACCATATTCATAAAAACTAGTATGAATATTTGGAGGACTATGACAAGGTGTTAATTCTGAAGCTTAAGTTTGACAGTGGGTAATGAGTGGAAGCCAAAGACGTCCTAATATACAAAGTAATTGATCTGTCATGTTTAAATGTCCCGAGTACAATAGAGCCGCCGCCAATACACCACCGATCTGTCGACACTTTGTGACCCGCTGAGTCAGCTGTATACTTACTATACCATACATATATGTATACAGAAGGCTAATATCTCCATAAGTACTATCCCTAGATTAATGCAAATAGAATTCAAATTGTCAGATAAGGCCTATGCTTGAAGTGAATAGTATATCAAGCTAGTCTAAAGGTAGGGTACCACATGCTTTCATGTCTGTTGTACAGGTATATTATACAGGAACATTCTAATTTTGATTGGTACAGGTGGCATATATATCTTTGATAAAGGATGTAACATATGTTTGAATATTCTTTGGTAAATATTTAAAAGTTTTCATTCCATGTTTTTCTAACATTACAAGAATAGTTTGTATATGTCCACCAGGCCCGAGGTATATCTGTGTATTGTGTATTTGTTTTTGAGCATTTCCCATTGTTTTATTATTCCTGTACCTTTAACTGTACATTGTGTACTATTTTACCTTTTGTTGAAATTAAATAAAAAAAAAAGGATAAATTGTACATTTTTTTGCAAACAAAAGATGTTATTTTTTTACCTGATTATCATAACAGACATTTTGTGACCACTGATTTAAAAATAAACTATAAGTAAATAATAATTAGCAGTAGCTTTTTGAAAAATTGGGTCCCCACTAGACAAAACAAAGTTATAATATGAGTTGAAATATCATCTAATTGATCTGTAGAAATAAAGGATAAATCTACGTGGGAACATGCAGTGACTTACCTGTTATTATAGAAATGTAGAGAGATTCCTGTCTGAATTGGTCTTCAATAAACTTACTATAAATATGTACCTCCTGGATTATCTACTTAATTACATAACATTTCCTGTAGTGACCTTATTGAAATCTAGTCTATCATGTACAGGATATACCTCCTATATAATGAGTTAATTATTTATGGAGTAGATCTTGCCATTTACACACTGACTTATAGCTGGAGTACTATTTGGACATGTGTTTGTATAAGAACCTGTTGCAGCAATTGGTTAAATAGTGTAAGTGTTTTTACAGGGACCAGAGAAGTTATTACAGGGCCCAGGGGACGGGTGTGTGTACACAGGGCCCTATGGTGGGGGAATGTGTTTGTACAGGGCACAGGGGACAGTGTACACTGGTGTGGGGGAGTGTTTACACAGGGCCTCAGGTAGGGGACCTGTCTCCGTTACTGGGTTGTTCTAGTGTGCCTGTCTGTTCCTTGAGGTGATGGACACCCTGCCCTTGTAAACACAGGCTGACACCACGAGGTAGCTACAGCGTGTACACACTGGTGACACACCTGTGTATATTTCTCAGTGTACAGATAGTGTACCTGTCAGATAAGAGGAGGAGGACGATGACAGGGTAGAGGAGTAGACCTCAAAAGCTAGATGAAGTATATATACAGGGCCCTATACCATAGTCAGGACATCTTCTACCCATACACTCATCACAGTCATCACCAGAATCACCTGTTTCCATCTGAACGCATTGTTCCTGTAGAACTTAATTACTGTTCTGTCCGCTGTATGAGAATTTCATCACTTGTTGTAGGTTTGGAAATTGTGACTTCTCACCGATCGTGGCGTGTGGCCGATACGGGAGGCGGAGTCTTCCCACAGAGACGGGTGACCACACAGAGATCAGCTTCCCAAGACTCGAGAGTTCTACGCCCAACATACTACCAGCTGTAAGTACACATATAAGATCTATATAGACTGTTATGTTGCCACATTGATATCAATGTTAATTTGTTAATTGAATTTTAATCATTTGTAATTGAACAAGTAAGAGCAACATCACAGTATACTACAGTATCAAGAAATATAAATTAACAAGATATTTGAAATTTTTATGACATTTTACATGTAAATATGCACTTCTTAGCCAGTAGCAAAAGTGAAATTTATAATTTAATGTTTTTTTCTTAGTATTGTTTGATTAACTTTTTTCTCTTTATTTTCCAGAAAAAGTTCAGTTCCTTGACAAATCACCATATCCATGGTCACCATAATATAAATACCAAACTTGGACTTGGGCGGCCTTCGGCATTTGGCAGTCCGTCATTTCCATCGCCACTTGACCGTATTAGGCCTGGGTGGCGTGACCGTGCCCGACAGCTAGGCATCAACAACGAGCGCGAGGCATCGTTTGAAGTGAACCAGAGCTTCCCGAAATCGGCCAAGAGTCGTTTGTGTCTGGACGACACTCTGGCCCAGCCGAAATCTAGACCAATGAAGTACTTCAGTAAGTTAGCCCCTGGCCTCACCCCCGAGTCCCAGGGTAGACCCACACCAAAGTATCTCAAGCCTAGCCTCAAGTTCTTCAGTAAGTCTCCGGTACATGTGTGATAGTGTAAACTTGGAGGATTTGCCTGGGTGAAGACACCAAACTTACATTGTCACACATATTTATTTATTAGAATTTAAAAATTAGTCTTTGAAGAAAAAGATTTAAAAGCAATGAAATCCGTTTTTTAAAAGCACCTGTCTTTAATGCACACTTTGTGGTAATTACACGTCTACATTACAGACAGGTGTTATTTTAGTTTAGGACACATTGTTTAAATTTCAATCACTATTTTCATAATTATGTAAAATTGAAATTGAAATTTACAATCTTGGATTTGAAATGATATCTCTCAGAAAAAATTGCTTGATAAATCTATTCTTCTTTTAAATGATTAAAAAAAATTCACGGAACGAAATGTAGTTTAATTATAATTTTTGAAAGTCATTCATGACTAGCACTGTATTTGTCCAGTCATGCATCTCACCATAATTAAACAGGACAACTGACCTGTTGTACTATAGTATGTAAAAGTTAACAAAGTATATATGAAGTAAGAGAATTAACTAAAAATACTAAATCTCAGGGGTGTTCAATTTTATATGTAGAGTACCAGTCGCAGGCAGATTTTGACAAACAATTCCTGCCCAGACAATGTTTTCATTGTAAATATTGAAAATGTTCAATTGCCCTGACAAAAACGAAATCTGCTAGTCCTGGGTGTCGGGCTAGTAAAAATTGGACTACCCTGAATCATTTGTTTTACTTCAATAATACTTTGATAATAATAGCTAAGACAAAATTTCTGATTTAAAACCCAAGTTTTTAAAGGGAGACAACTTGTCCAGAAAGACTGCCTTTTGAACACAGAAGAAAAAGATGGTCTTTCTGGACAGAATTTACTGAAACAACAAACAATTGCTTCAATAGGCATCATATTTTGTTATTTGTAACATTTAAAAAAATGTGATCTGATTATTTTTCAGCTAACATCCTCAGTGATGTCAGCTTCAGCCCAGGCTCGGCCAACAAGGGGTCGTTCAGTGCAGACCCCATGAATGTGTCCAACACGAGTGACAACTGGACTTTCTATAATTCTGTCAGCAATGGCCACACTGGTGTGATTTACCCCTCGACAGTACGCAACCCCAACAAGGCCATTTGTACAATTAACGCCAAAACATCCGAGGTTAGTGATCTTAGTTTATGGTTGACAGATTTTGTGAGGGGGTAGAATAGTGTACAAACTGCTGATTTTAAGATTGCTATGTATCATTTGCGTCATTACTGGTTTGTTTTCTATGTTTATATTTGGTGAATATCAAAAGTCTGAAAACCTGCTATGAATAAGGGTCTCTTGTGTAGAAGCTCAGCTCCATCAACTATTCAATTGTTAACAAAGCATAATAACTTCCTGATTACAATGCACATAAATACTTTCGACAGTGTTCCGTCCAATACAACTTGATGCATAAATTTAGCAAGCATTGAAATAAATCTGTAATTTAGTTTACTTTGTAGACTTTGAACTGTAACAACTGAATTCAACCTTTATAAAGAATTACATGTCTCTTTGTGAGTAGATATCTTAGTTTTGTGTTTTTATTTATATCTTTTCATATTCTGTATTAGCCCTATTTACATGATGAAGTTATTGTACTTGTAGATACTGGTAGCCAATGAGATCGCTTGTGAACTCTTTGGGTATGAGAGGGAAGATTTTATTGGACGACAACTGAAGGATATGATCAAACTGAAGCCTAAGGACCAGGCCACCATAATGGAGACACACCTGGATGAAGTGACCGGTGAAGTGGTCAGTCTGTCAGGCAAAGTGGTGAGTGACCAGTGCTATTGTTTGGTATCATTGTGCAGTCTCTTTCTACATCACACTTAACTTGATTGTATTCTTTCAAGAAAAAATAAATTAATAAAATAATTACACTAAAAATGAAATGTTTGATATGCTAAGTATTACAGTAATTCCATTTAGGACATTTGTACTATCTTAAGCTATGCTACAACTGTACACATTCAAAAATATTTATTGAGGACTGTATCATTTTCCAATATTACATATTCCTAATTTTTCTGTCGCATTTTGGTAAGGTTTAATCAAAATTGCAGATATATCAAACTATCTTAAATATTGGTTTATCCGGTACAAGGATTTGTATAGGGTGACAGGAGTGTAAATAATTTTTTGTTTTGGCCAACATTTTATCTGAATTGTTTGACGTTATAGGTTGATGCTGTAGACAGTAATGGTATCGTCCTACCAATCTCACTCTGGGTGAGAAAACTAGGTCAGGAGCCTCGTTGTCTGGTCGTCATGGAGCCAGTACACCGCACTGTTGGCATGGTGACCTTCAACTCGGAAGGAGCTATCTTGTCGTGTGATGACCAGTTGGCCTATCTCCATGGTTACATGTCTGCAGAGGATGTCGAGGGCCTGGACGTCAGGGATCTGATCCCATCCTTCACACTCCCTTGCCCGGGAAAACCCCTTTCTAAGGTAAGCCGACTATAGTAGTATCACAGAACTGTGCCTGTATTCTTAAACTTTTAGCGTGTTCAAAATTATATTTTATAATCAAGCTCACTTCCTTAATCAAGTCCAAATGTAGGTTTTAATAGTTTGTAGCCTAAACATTAGGCTGAGTACCATGTCCATGGTCAATGTTTACCAGTACTTCTTGATACTGTCAGAAGTATTAGAGATTTACAAGATGGCCACAGCAAATAATTCAAATTGGAGTTGGAGAAAAGTTTCCATGAAAACAGAAAATGTTCAAACCAATTTGCTTTCAGGATGTTGTTTTACAAAGTGAAAAGTGAATGAATTATTTTAGGTGTTTTGTTTAAACTAAGAAGTAATTGTTATAACCCATTTTGTCTTGTGTATTTACAGGGAGTGAGGAAACAGCAGGCCACAGGTCGTACTAAGGAGGGCAGCTCTTTCCCTCTCAGTGTATTTGTTAAACTTAGTGCTGAGGTGGAAAGGGACAATGAGATTGTATCACGTTCACACCACGGTAAGTATTGTGATGTCTTTGTGGTTTTCAAAGAGATTGTGAAGAAATATATTAAAATTGGCACAAAAAAATTGACAAAATTTAAAAAAAAGTCCTGAACTAAAGGTTTATCATTTTATATTTAGAGTACGACCATGTAAGCAGATTTAACACAGTTCTACTAGCCTTATATCTTCAAACAGATTGTTCTGAATTTTCACTGGCCCTGACATACAGCCTGCTAGCTAATGGAATGGTACAACCCTGCAGTCATCCTCGAACAAACAATGTTATATAAATCAACTAGTAAAGAAAGCTGTAACATGAAGAAAAGCTATTGTTTAATTATCTCCTTTGTATTGAATGGCTTATTTTGTTTCTGTTTCAGAGGATGATGGTGTCTATCTGGGCATTGTCTGGGTGTTTTCTGGGATCAGTGGGCTGATAACATTCCTACCCTCCGGAAAGATCCACACCATAAATGATAACTTCGCCCTTCTACTCTTTGGCTACTCCAAGGCTCAGCTCGTCGGCAAGGTATGTAGCTCTCAACTTCTACATTCAATCATTAGTTTGTTCTGTTAACAAGAAATGAATCCTTTTATGTTCATGACATCAATAAGGAATCTTGAAAATACAAAAAAAAACCACAGCAAAATCTTATTATGGAGGAATGTTTAAACATAAATTACTAACAATCTGTGCTTGCTTTCCAGGACATCACAGAGCTGATCCCAAACTTTGGTGACATCATGACAGAAGAGAACAGTCTTCTTATCCCTAACCACAGCGACATCACAACAGGGGGAGACAATTCTTGTTCACCTCGCGAACTCAACTTTGATAAACCTCATGGTAAGTTTTAGCATGAAGAGGCAGATTTACAGTACATAAATAACTGAAAACGGTTGGCCTACTTTAGAATGAACAATTTGATCATTTGGCATAGCTATTGAAAACCTGCTAAAGTAGATAAATTGTACATATATTAACTTGTTCACACCTAAATTTTCATAATGAACTATTCCAGTATTTGAATTGGAGGAGTTCAAATCTGTCTTCATGGATGAATGTTTACCTTGTCTATATGCCCTGTATGTTTACCTTTTCTATATGCCCTGTATGTTTTACCTTGTGTTACAGACAGCAGTGATGACCAGGGTATCGGCAGCAGTATTGGTTCCAGTCAGACTCAGGGCACCAAGCTGGACATTCGACTGGATGCACTCTCAACTCTCCAACCAGGAGTGACATCCACTCCTAACAAACCCTCCCCCACAAATCCTCTCGCTGACGACACTTACTTTAGGTACAAACTCACTCTGATTCTGTTTCTGATTCATAATCTTTTATAAGAAAACTTCAATTTTAACAACTTTTATAGGATTGTTTATCCTTCAGGTACCATGTGCCTGTTTGATCATATGTAATCAATTATGTTAATTGGCTATTAGGAATAAGTTAAAATAAATAACAAAATAAATATCATTTGCCTATTTTGATAATGTGTATAATATTTATAAGAATGATACTTTTTGCTGATTTGAAGTCCTTAAAGATAGCTAGGTTTTGAAGTTCGAAAGTAATTTCTTGGTGTGTGTCAATAATGTAAGTTTTGAATTTTAGGACCTATTTGTAGGCTGCTGTGCCTATTTTATAATAAGAAAACAGGATTGGATTTAACCAGGTAATTAGGTAGATACTATGTTTGGTAGATGTGTAATGCTGTTTTATTTGTGTTACAGACGTGCAATGGAAAAGGAAAATTTAATGAGGAAGTGTTCCCCACTTCAGGGTGGCCAGACTCTAGCGTCACTTGTCACTAAGCTGGACCTTACAGGTGACAGTGATGAGGAAGACATTTCGGTGGTTAATTCACTCGCCCCAGCTCATCCCAGTAATACTTCTACAGGTACTGAGGGAACTGACTCAATGGAGGCAATCCACGATACAAATGAAGCAGCCCACAACGCATGGGAAGTAACTAACAACACAAGGGAAGTAACTCACAATACAAGGGAAGTATTTAACAACACAAGGGAAGTAACACACAATACACGACAACTTGAACGTGAGCTTGACAGTACCATGCCAACTGATCACCTAATGTCTAACAGACGGGATGCAGGACAGCAGATCACCCGTCTGCCTAGAGACATTTTTGACATTGGGAGACAGGACATGATATTCAGGAATGAGAGTAATTATTCTGAGGAGTATGATTCCATGTCAAGTAGTGGGGACTCAGTGGAGCTGAGCAGTACTGCTGAACTGCTGAGTGCGAGGGTAGGTGCCCTGGCCCTGGACGTGTCCGGTCAGGACCACTCTGGTGTGTCCAGTGGAGATAGTGTTGTGTCTGACCAACTCAACAGGTCAAGCCCTGGCAATGCAGCTGACATCAGCAACAATGTATGCCAATCTTATAGTGCTAATTATGATAATAATGACTCTGTGAATAAAAGTGCTAATCAAAGTGAAAATGACAATGACTGTGGATCCAAGAATGGTTGTGATCCTGATTATATACCAAAGTGTTCACCAGTAGTGATAGAAGACAGTACCAGTTCTGAGTGTTCGCCGGAGACGGAACGCCCCCTTGCTCGTGACCTTCTGTCACCCTTGCCTCGATTCCCAGTACTTGACAGTTCTCGAGGGACTGGTTACACGCCAGACCTGCTGCCAGAGGACTCAAGTAGCTTTCGACACTACAATGAATACTCGTCTCTCAACCTCACAGATTCCAACCTCTCCAACGATACCTTCTCAACCTCTGATGACAGTGAGGACTCGGGTGATGAGGAGGAGGAGGAGGAGGAAAATGACACAAGTCCACTCAAACGATTTCCTGGCAATTGGAGACCAGAGGCGGCGCCATGTGACATGTTGAATGTACCAGAGGGCAGCTATGCTGGTGTTTGTGAACATCATGATGGATCAAACCTAGGTAAGGCAATACTTACTAGTTAAGACCTAAATTGTTAAGAGGAAATATTTGTTGAAAAATTTGTTTAGCAATTTTATTTTTGAAATATGAAGATTATTGAATTTTGGAGTAGTGGTCAAGTTCTGTAAAATTCAGTTTGTCGCTTTAATATTAAATATATATTGATCTGATTGTTTATTTTACAGTCACAGAACATATTGTAGTCCCTGAAAATTTGATCATATAAATCATATTCAGATCTGTATCTGTTTCACCCTTTAACAAAATCTACCTGACCATTTGTTATTTTGATATCATGTTGTAGGTATAATATTGACTGTTTTGTGTTTTACAGGAATAATTTTCCAGGTGAAGCGCGTACAGATGGAAGGCGGACAGTTTGTGTATTGTCTGTGGGTGTCCCGGGACCCAGAGGATCATCCTGACACGTCACACTCGTATACAAACCTCACTCTGGCCTCCAGCTTCAACAGCACCATGGACCGGTCAGTTGGCGAGGTATGTACAGAAGGGATGGGGGGTCAATGGGACGGGGGAAGGCATCCTTAATTATTATATTAAAAGAATGAGTCTCAGACAAACAACTTTTGTTTGGGGGGTCGACAGACTTTTTAATCTTACAGCAGAGAAAATCTTACAGCTAAAAGACTGGTAAAAGTTGAGAGAACAAAACAATTAAAAAAGACATTTGCTCCAATATTTTTAAGAGGTGTGGATCTGTCAATGTTTGAGATTTTTCCATACTTAAATTTTGATTTTGTCTGTTATAATTCTAGCATTATATTTTCCAGTTTACAATAGTGTTTTGAGATGTCACTGACTGTTATGCTTGGTTTTCAGTGTCTAACAGACTCCAGACTAGAGGAGAGAGAGGAGGAGGAGGATGAGGAGAGCGATCAGCAGGAAGACGAGGAGGGAGAGGGTATGGAGTACAATCTATCCTCAGGGCAAGGGTTGTACGATATCAAGTATGAGACCCTCTCCTCCATAGGCAAGGGAGCGTTTGGCTTTGTGAAGCTGGCATGTTGTCGCACCAACAACACACACGCTGTTGTTAAGTTCATCAAGAAGAAAAAGGTGCTGAATGAGTGCTGGACGGTAGACAGGAAGTGGGGCCGAATTCCACTCGAGGTCAGCCTCCTCACAAAGCTTGACCATCCAAACATTGTCAAGGTAAGTCCATCGGTAGCTGTGACCAGGGTTATTGTGATAACTTTGTCTTTGTTGATTGTGATAATTTTGTCTTTTCTGCTAAATGTACCAACCTAGAGGTCAACATTAAATGCATACAGAAACTATTACGAGGAACAAATAGACTAGCACAGAACTCAAAAGACTGAAAGTTTCTTGTGTTAGACAAGTAGTTGTTTTTGTTAGACCAGTTGTTTGATACTGTTGTTCCACATATCATGAAAATCATTTCACTAAATGCACAGTTATGTTAATCCTAACGCAACTGAGATTTCATTTGAAGAAAAATCTTTTATTTCTAATAACATGTTAAATTTTATAACAAAACATGTTTTAAATCTAAATCAAATGATGTTTTTATCATTGTAGGTGGTGGATGTGTTTGAGAACGAGAACTTTATACAGATGGTCATGGAGAAGCATGGAAGTGGGATGGACCTGTTTGAGTTTATAGATCGTAGTCCTCTGATGGACGAGAGTCTGGCCAGCTACATCTTCAGACAGGTCAGTATTTTCTGCACTGAATAAAAATAATCAGTTATTTCATTCTGCTTGCATTATTACCAATGATAGGACTTTTGTTGTTGCTTGGTGAGGTTAATCTGTGTCGGAGGATTGCTTTCAATGTTACAAACACTTTCTGGACTAATATCAATTGATTATTGTAACATTTTGATAGCTAGTGTCCATACATTTTTGTTTCTGTTAAGGTTTTGCACTAAAACCAGTCACAATAAAAAAGGGTATGTGGTATTATAGATTTACTGTCGTGACCGTACATATGTAAACATCTTTCATCAGTAAAGGGTATGTGGTATTATAGATTTACTGTCGTGACCGTACTAATGTAAACATTTTTCACCTTACAGATGGTGTCTGCTGTAGCCTACCTCCACTGTCATCAAATCCTGCATCGAGACATCAAAGATGAGAATATTATCCTTGATGAGCACTTCGGTATTAAGCTGATAGACTTTGGTGCGGCAGCCTACCTCAGTAAGGACAAGCTGTTTGGCACGTTCTGTGGTACGCTGGAATACTGTAGTCCGGAGGTCCTCATGGGCAACAAGTAAGTCGGCTGTATTCTTGGATGTATGGCATTAACTGATTTCAAATAGGAGTAAGATCTTGACTATTCCATTTTCATTTGAGTTGGTCTAGCGGTCAAAAAATGTTTTGCAATCTATTTGTTAAGTTTAAGAATTTCTAACTGCAATGTTTGGAATCTAGAATATTTTTGTTTGTACATCAAAATATGTTTTTACTTTTTCAGAAATATTGATCACCTTGTAGCGGAAATATCTCTATAAAACTATTTGTCTATGCAGATATGTTTGGATGTGAAATAACCTGATCTTATCTCTGACTGTTACAGGTACCGCGGGCCAGAGTTGGAGATGTGGTCGCTAGGTGTGACGCTGTATACCCTGGTGTTTGGAGAAAACCCATTCTTTGATGTAGATGAGACAATCCAGTGTATCCTAAAACCACCGTTCTCTGTGTCTAATTGTAAGTGTGCTATATCTGTGTCTAATTGTAAGTGTGCTATATCTGTGCTTTGTTGAATTATTATTTCCTGGTGTATCTTCTAAAAACAAATCTTTAATTGAAATACTTTTTAAAATTTTCTTCCATTTACCACTTTCTGTAAAATATTCTTGCCTTATGGTATTTTACTCTAAAATAATTCTCTCAAATAACTCTAGTCTGTTGCTAGTTTTGAATGTCTGAGTAACAAAACAACATAACAGGTGAAATTGTGTCGAGATCAGTTTAATGTTGTGACCATTGTATTATTTTAAAACATTGTGTTGTAATCAGCCTATTTTCTATCTACAGCCCTTATGTACCTCCTGATGTGGCTGCTCCACCCAGAACCACTGAAGCGTGCCAGGATCTCCGACCTGGAGAATGACAAATGGAGCCACCAGCCAATGGATATTAGTCAGTACAAATGGTGTGAAGTGCTGCCAAACTCAGGTAGGTTGTTTGGACCGTATATACGGGGAAAACCACTCTTCCTATATTGAGGCTGTCTATACTGCATAGACAATAATGCCTCAACATAAAGTAGACATCAAAATCTCCAAACATCTCCATCAAGAACATGTATAATACATAAAGTGACAGTAAAACTAGGCGGGATTCGTTGATTTCATGAGGTCATTTCCTTGTCAATATGTTGAAGGAAGAACAATTGCAAAAATAAGTATACACAAAAGAATTATACCGGGCATGTCATTAACAAGCTTGATTACTTTCTGTGTGGTAATCATGATAACAGCGAATGAGCCTAATTCTGACATCTCTTATTCAAGTTCTCGTGTGTAGTCTTACGTGTTTGTTATTCACCTTTTCTTTATACTTTGATTTGTTGTTGTAGAATTCCACGGAAACACTGCTGCGGACAATAGGATCGACTCCCCGGACTCGAAGGCTGACCAACAGAGATGGTCAAGGACAAACGGAGTGTCAAGTGGCCACTGACCGGCCGTATCCATGGAGAATTACAGAAGACACATCTAGTACTATAAACTGCCAAATGTTATAAACGACACTGACTTGTAGTGGGTGTAATGTTGTCTGTACATCGCTGTAAATATCTCTGTATATTTGTATATGCCTGTATATACTATTTATATTTTTATGTGTAGGATATATAATTATAGAAGGCACTGGACTGTGTCGGCCCGGCCACTGTACAACAGTTGTGGACACTGAATTACATGTGGTGATGGTTGTACAGTGGCTATTTATACGGTTGTACTCTGCTACTAGTCATACATGCAATATTTAGATTAATCAACCAACAGCATTACCTTGTGTCTGAATGTGTCTGTGTATTGTGTGGACATGTGTAGGGTGTGGGTGTTAGTATGATGTCTGTGTGATGCGACACTCCTGTAGGGGTGTGGGTGTTAGTATGATGTCTGTGTGATGAGACACTCCTGTAGGGGTGTGGATGTCTGGGGTGTGGGTGTTAGTATGATGTGTGTTATACCTGTATGACACACCTGTAAGGGTGTAAACATGTGTGACACAGACCAGAGAGCGTAACACTTGATCAACAATAACCATGCAATACAATATAAGGTTCTGTAGGTCAGTGTACAACTTTGTACTCGTTTTATACCTGTAATATCAGTATCATGACAAATATAATAAAACATAGGTTTTATCAAAACTCAATCAAGTGTCGTGTGATCAATTCATTTTCAAGTCAGATTTTTAGCTCACCTGGTCCAAAGAACTATGGTGAGCTTATGCCATACTGCGACGTCCTTCGTCCGTCTGTCAACTTTACCTTTAAAACACTACTTGTCCTGAAAAGCTTTATGGATTTTGATTAAATTTGGAGCTTCCTTGGACAAAGGGGACTAAATTTTGAATAAATGAAGGGTGTGGCACTCCTGGGTGCAGACGGGAGGGCCGAGGAGGTGAATTTGTGGAATAAATATTCAAAATCCTTCCGTTTCTGTACCATTGGAGGTGAATTTGTGGAATAAATCTTCAAAATCCTTCCGTTTCTGTACCTTTGGAGGTGAATTTGTGGAATAAATATTCAAAATCCTTCCGTTCCTGTACCATTGGAGGTGAATTTGGGGAATAAATCTTCAAAATCCTTTCGTTTCTGTACCATTGAAGGTGAATTTGTGGAATAAATATTCAAAATCCTTCCGTTCCTGTACCATTGGAGGTGAATTTTTGGAATAAATCTTCAAAATCCTTTCGTTTCTGTACCATTGAAGGTGAATTTGTGGAATAAATATTCAAAATCCTTCCGTTCCTGTACCATTGGAGGTGAATTTTTGGAATAAATCTTCAAAATCCTTCCATTTCTGTACCATTGGAGGTGAATTTGGGGAATAAATCTTCAAAATCCTTTCGTTTCTGTACCATTGAAGGTGAATTTGTGGAATAAATATTCAAAATCCTTCCGTTCCTGTACCATTGGAGGTGAATTTTTGGAATAAATCTTCAAAATCCTTCCATTTCTGTACCATGGGAGGTGAATTTGTGGAATAAATATTCAAAATCCTTCCGTTTCTGTACCACTGGAGGTGAATTTGTGGAATAAATATTCAAAATCCTTCCGTTTCTGTACCATTGGAGGGGAATTTGTGGAATAAATCTTCAAAATCCTTCCATTTCTGTACCATTGGAGGTGAATTTGGGGAATAAATCTTCAAAATCCTTCCGCTTCTGTACCATTGGAGGGATTTTAACCAAATTCAACCCAGAGCATCCTTTGGCAAAATGGAAGGAAATTCTGTGTTAATGGTGGTGTGGCCCCCTGGGTACAGAGGGGTAGGAGCAATAGGGAATATTGAGGCAAATCTTTAAAATCCTTCTTATGGACCATTGGACGGATTTTTAACCAAATTTGGTCCAGAGCTTATTGGTGCAAGGATGACCCAATTTGATATAAAAGGAGGGTGTGGCCCCTCTCGGTGTAGGGGGACATTGCCAAATAGAGGAGATTGAGGTTTGATTCTTTGAAATCCTTTTTCTTCCATACCATTGGAGTGATTTTATCCAAATTAGGTCCAGAGCATCCTTGGGCAATGGGGA